AGTTTGTAGTGTAGTCGGTTTATACTCTGTATTTCTCACTTTTGTTTTAGCAGGTACTGAGTGATGCTGTATATACCTGTATGTATTTGTTTGAGACCAGCACATGGCATGCGTTTATGGTTCCCGTCTGTTACTATTAAAAAGTCTACAAATTCCAGAGGACAAACAGTTGTGTTTTAATTATTTTTTCTTTTTTATAGCCTGGAGTCATTGGATACAGTGCAGTAGAGCGGCAGTGTTCAGTGCTTCTTCATTTTCCAGTTTAAAAATAAGTGTTCACAAAATTGTGAGATTAAAGAAAAGAATAATCGCTTCACTACATTTCACTTTCATTGTATTCAGTAACTTGGAAGAGTGCTGTTAATTTTGTTTCCGAGGTTTCTTTTTTTTTTTTTTTTTTAAGCTGTAGTATTATAGCCAAGGTGTTGTCACTAAAAAAAGAAAAAGAGAATATCTTAGGTATCGCTAACCCAGTCCTTTTTACAATGTCTACATGCACTGTCAATGCCATGTGAGGGTTCTTGATGTCAGGTTCAAGCAAAATCGCCACCATCAAATATTCCATGCATCTGAAAACATTTTATGCATTTCAGTGGCCTTTTAAGGATATTTTAGTAAAATAAGTAAAAAAAAAAAAGTCACTGCAGATGGACTGATGACCATCTACTCTGGTTAAGACTTTTTAGTTTTTTCTTTTTCTTTCTTTTTTTTTTTTCCCATCATCTTGTAAAATAGGTGTGTGGCTTAATACATGCAAGCTGTGCTGTGACTACCAACCACTGAAGAGTTCATTAAAAATAAACTTGTACATTGTAAAGTTCCAGCGTCTCGTTATTTTTCTCCGTCCTGTGTGACGTATCTGCCGTTGCTTTGTTCTGATGAAAGTGGTTCATCTGTTTCTTATTTACTCCAGTTCACCCAAATGTAAGAAGACTGCTGCCTGCCCAGGCAGATGATTTGGTTTTGAAATTAAATCTAACATTTATTCTGTTTACTCTTATCTGCTCAAGAGAAGTATGCTTAACATAGTTAATAATAAATAAACAGCTGTATTCACACCAAACTGTACACGCTCATTAATACTTTTTAAAAGTGAAGATTATTATTTGAAAATGTTGCTAACTGCCTCTTTCCCTAAAGAAACGTTTAAATATAAATAATAGAATTTTTGCTCAGCATTTTTTACGACAGTTTGTGTGAGAAACTTTAATTGAATTTTCCGCTCTGAAAATTACAGATTAAGTTAATTGTACTCAGTTGATTATAAAAAAATAAGTTACAATAATTAATCCTACTGTCACATTAGGTTAGACTTGTTTGAATGAGTGTTTGTTGTAAGCTTATAACCAGTTGTGTTTGACTCTTTGAGCTCAGATTTATATATTTACAAATCTGTAATATAATGTTTATAATGTGGCCTGAGCATGGGTAGCTATTCTCCATCACACCAGTAGGTGGTGCTCATCTTCGCAGACTCCCAGTCAGGTCACCATCATTCTACTGTGTTAAAGACAAATATTCATAATAGAATATTAGACTGAGAAGAAGAAGACATGTAGAGGTTCTGTGTGAGTCTTCATTCATTCTGTTTATCAGCTGCACTGAGTTTCTCCCTCTCTTGACTCTCAGCCTCTGAACCTCTCCACTTGCAGGAGTCTCCTGACATGAAGACTGAAGTTGTGCTTCCTCCCTCCTCCTCCTCGCTCTCCTGCTCCTCCTCTCTTTACTCTAATCCCTGACGGACTCACAGCAGATAAAGTGCAGCCAAGAGTTAGATAACACAAGATCATAAAGAGCCGGGAAAAACATTTTGCAGCGAACTTCCACCAGCTCGACTCCGGCAGATTCCTCCTCCACCTGATTTATACCACAGTGAGAGTCGAGCTCGTTTCTCTGCACGCCCTTGTTTTGGCCTGAAGATCCAACTGGGTGTGACTTTCTCTGTTGGTCTAAGAAGATGAGCTCTGTTCATGGAGATAAAGCTGCAGGGATAAACTCTGAAAATCTGCTCTAATTGCCCAGAGTCATGCAAAAGTGTCAGTCTGCTGTGTTGTTCAGTGACTCAGCAGGTCTGGTCTTCGTCTTACTCGAGCGTCTCCGGCAGAACGTCTTCATCAGGACGCCGGATCATCAGGGGGAGAAGACGCTGGAGACAGATTCCTGCATGACCCCCGTGTACTTACAGCTGAAAGTAACAAATGGGTTGAATTACTTTTCATTTCTCAAAGTTAGTTTCTGTGAGAAGACTCAGCTCTTCATCATTGTTTCCCTTCTGATGTCTAACCTGCCGTTTGATTTCACATTTGAAGACCTTCTCTTCCAATCTGTGTGAACGAGGAGTGATTTTCAACTTCGGAGAACCTTGAACCACGATATTCACCTGCTCGTGTCTGTGTGAGCGAAGGTTTACACTAAGAAAGTCGGGTTTGAGCCTGAAACCAGAAGAGTGGAGGCCGTGATGGCGGCAGATTCATGGAATGAGATGGACAACAATCCCATATAGCTATAATACTCAGGTGTCTTCATAGTTCAGTGAAGAATAAAAGAAAAAAACACTGATTCAGCTTTGAAATCTCTCGATCAGTTTTAATTCTCGGCAGGAGAAACCTTGAAACACGTCACGACTGTGTCTGTGGCTCCAGCAGCTCCACCACTGGATGACATGCTGTGCTTCTCTGGGTTGGAAATCACCAATAAAGAAGGAATTAGATCTGCTGTCGCTCACATTCATCCTCTCGACTCATTTCATTTCCACCGAGGCCCCAATCTCCGTCTCTTCTGTGCCGTAAAGTGCAGCAACCAAAACAAACCTCCGAGACTTAGACACACTGGATGAGCTAAACCCCTGCGAGCGGCAGCAGGGGTTCCTCCACGATGACAAATGGAGGCGTCTGCGATGAAGTGACGGCTCGGGTCTGTCGCTGAGACAAAGAGGAACACGCTCCCAGAGGAAAATGCGATTCAACGCAGAGCGTGGATTTGCTGTGGATGCATCAGTAGAGGAGGATTTAGAGACGTCTGTCGCTCTGTGGTGTCAACAGCTTCATTCAGAGGAGACGGCCTTCATGTTCAGCCGAGCTCCTCTCAGACAGTTTCCTGAGAGTGCAAATGTCCGAGTCAGTTGCTTCGAACATTTTCCAGAACGGCTGCTGCCAGCTTCTTTGTGAAATGTCCAGAAATGATCGAGCAAACCACTGACAAGTTTAAATCGACTCAAGAGCAGTTTCTTTCTCTGGGCCATTAGAACTCTTCATTCATAAAAGTGTTTATTAGTCTGGTGTTTTCTGGTTTGTGTCTTTTGTTGAATTCGTTTTATTTATAATTTGCAAAGATGTATTGTTGTCTGTTTTCTAATGACGATAAAGGTTTTTCTATTCTGTTCTATAGTCGAGTGTGTTTCCCTGCTACTGTGTCGACCGTGTGTTGATTCTGTGGTAAACATTACCCCCCCCCCCCTCACAGACGGCTGCTCTGTGAAACAAGAATCTGTCTCGACAAGTCACGAAGTCTTGAATTGAGTCTCAGAGACACAATCACTGATCTAAATGTCAACAGTGTCAGCCCACCCTGAACATTCAGGTTCTAAAGCTGCCATCGCTCTTTTCTTTGAATACAAGGACACACTCAAGACGACGAGTGAATCTGAAACTCAGATTCTACCCATTGATTCAAATGTAAGTGGGATTTATTGTGTTTCTTAAGGAAAGAGTGAGAAAACATCCTCCATTAAGTTGCTTTCGTTGCAGTTTCATGAGTTAAACCAAGAACCTCAGGAGATTCTTTAACTAAGTCCCCCACCATCACCTCCTCATCATCGGTGGACGGCGTCCTGCGGAGGACAGTGTGTCACACAGGGGACGTAAACGCTGCTGCTGGCTGTGCAGAAAAGATTTTCACATCATCTGCAACACTTGTTTCAAAAGCAGCTTTGTCCACCCCTGATAATTTCCTGACGACCTCACAGGGAACTGACACTCGCTCTTTCTCAGTCTCATAGGAAATGAGTCGCCTGAAACTCTCTGTTGTCCCTCAGTTCAACTTCCTGCCCCCCGAAGACCACGTCGCTGGACGGGTCGAATCCAGGATCATCAGAGGAAAGAGTGGATCATCAGGGGAAGTGAAGAAGACACTGTTCGTTATCTCCGTCCTCCATATCGAGCCTTTGAGCAGAGTGACTCTAATACCCCTCAAAGTCTGATTGACAGTTTTGCCTGTATAGACTGTAGAAAAAGACGACTCCACTTCCTCCCGTTGAACAGCCAAAACATCCTGGATACTGGACACGGACGTCCCCTTACATCCCCTGTGGGACAATAAAGTCTATTTGATTTGATTCCATTTGATTTGGAGCCAGAATCTGAACAGTCGTGATCCCGGTGAAGACCAAACTTATCAGAAACACGACTTTGACAGTTTGGTCCATGTCCCATCTGCTTACACGGAGGAGACGGGGTTTATGACCTGCACTGCAGCCAGCCACCAGAGGGCGATCAAGATGATTCTGCTTCACTTTTGCGGAGCTGTCATGTCGTCCACATTTGCCGTTCTCTGACAAATCCGACATCTGGGCAGCTCACAGGAGAAACCTGAGTTGAATACCGACTCCTGGATGAACGGCTTCCTGGGGGAGTGAGTTTATAAAGACCTGAGCAGCTTCTGACTGAAACATCCAATAAATAAAAACCTGTGAATGCATGAGAGGCTGTAAACACTGTGACGTGATGTGTTCAATATTCAATTCTGGTTTCTGTAAAGCTCCTTTCAAAGTCTAGAAACTTATCATGGATTATAAATCAGCTTTTATGTTCACTCATTACAAATATATATTTTCAGAGAGGCTGCAGGAATCTAAAACAATCTGAGTGAGTCTAGACGCACTTGTTTTGGGAGTTTACATCCCCGGAGTGTTTGATGGGATTTATATTCACCAGCTGCTCTGTAGCGTTTGTGTTGGCAGGACAGCGACAGGCTCATGCCCCTTAATTCTTTCTTTTCTGAGTCTCTGTTCTCAAACAGCAGACAGAAATATGCTAAAAATGCAGCACTGTGACCTGAGCCCGCAGATCAGAGTTTATTTTTAGGACAGGCGTCTAACTCCCCTTCTGCTCCACCCAAACTTTTCTCATTATCTGCAGCGGGACTGGCACAAGCAGAGATAATGGCCGAATGCCTGCTCGCCTCGTCACTAATGGGACTTTGGAATTTCAGCTCTAACATGGTCACGTAACATTAATATGTTTTGACATTTATGTACCAATGATAAAACCTCAGTCCGCGTGAACACGACTCCAACACGAGGCTCAATCCTCCGGCACTCTGAGGTCACGCTGACATCAGTTAATCAACCTGAAAGTATTTACCTGCAATTCAACTTCTTAACTTTTAGATGTGTAAGTCTCTCCACCAGTGAATGCCTAGTGGCTGGAGACATTATGTTTTCACAAAGTTCAGCTGGACTCAAAGATGAAGTGATTAGATTCCAGAGGTCAAAGGTCAAAGGTATTCGCCAACAGTACTTTTCTGCCACGAAATAAACAAATAACCAGGTGATCCGAGGAACTGATCTGAAATCAGACCTTTTTTAAAATGTCTGTACCACCGGATGTGTAGTTTCAAAAGGCCCCGGAGTGTGAATGTCTCGCACCACTGGAAAATAAAAATAAACCTGTCAGCGTTCTTATATTTTCCTCGACTGGAGTCAAATGCATCCATCGGCACAAAGAGCCGAGCGAGGAGGATCTCGTCTGGAGCAGGTTGGCTGAGTCATGCAGACGCCTGAGGGAGTTGGTCTGTGGGATCTGCGTGGGAGAGTTGAACCAACAACCCAAACGCTCTCCATCTGAAATGCTGCGCTGCCACTGTGTGATTATTAAAGGAATGTTCATATAGAGCCACACACACACAAACACACACACACACACACACACACACACACACTTCTCATTCTCAGTGTAAAACCAGGTGTCGGTTTGGAACCTTTTATTCCAAGGGTGTGAAAACGAAAATGAAAATGACGTATTTCCACATGAACTTCCTTTATGAGAAAGATCACTGTCATGTTCTGTATTTCTAAAGGACACTGTGATCATTATACTCCTCTGTTTATTTTTGTTTGGTGTTTTTATGTCTGTAATCTGATAATACTTTCATCTAATATGTTCATTCGTGTCACATTCTCGTCATATATATATATATTTGCCTTTCATTTTAAAGCACACTGAGTCTCGGCTTGTCATAAGAAATGTGATTTATAAATAAATAGATTGTTTTACTGTGTACTTTGTGGTGTTTCACTGTAAAAACACAACGAATGGTGAAGATAGAAATGACGGAAAAACCACTGAATATCAGAAAACGATATTAAAAACTAAAAGTATGATCCCAGTTGAATTACTGGCTGAATATTAGAGCCAGGAAATACTTTTAAAAAAGAAACCACGAGTGGCCCGAGAGAAGCTGCTGACCCACATTTAAAGGACCATTACGCAGACTTCATGTTCGGGGCCTGAGCTTCGGCTTCACTCGGAGGTGCTCGGGTGTTGTCGGCTGTGTAGCAGAGGGCAGTGCAGTCAGTCAGTCAGTGGGAGCGCGGCGGCGGCTCCCTCAGCTCCGGAGACGAGCACGCACGCACACCTGGTCCGACCGAGGAGGAGAGTTCAGCTCCTGACGTCCGCACAGGTGAGTTCGCCCGGATCCAAACTTCTGACAACTTCTGAAAACTTTTCTCGGCGCAGGAAAATGCGTCAGAGGAGGAGCAGAGCCGCAACTTTTACGCATGTGAGCGGCAGACATAGGGAAAGTGGTCGTTTTTAATTGGTGCGTAAAGTTGAGACGAAAGTGCGAAGGGGGTTGTTGGGAAAGTGGTGTTTGTTTTTCGGCTGACTTTGTTTCCTTGTACCTGTCAGCAGCTCCCGGGTTAATCGCTGGAGGAATGCGGAGCCACTAGGACGAGAGCGCAGAGCTGAAAGTTCGCATCAACTCACATTCACTTTTTATTTGCACCAACTTGGCGAGCCAGCCTCTCCAAAAAGGGATCATGGCCACCGGCGGATTTAAGCCGAACGCCACCACGGACTTTCTGGAGGAGTGGAAGGCGAAGAGGGAGAAAATGAGGGCCAAGATGCTGGGGGACATTGCGGCAGCGAGCGGGGCTCCTCTGGGCTCCGGCAACCCGAACAGCACCGGGAACAACAGCCGCCTCGTCGCTGCGCCGGGCACCGAGCTCACCAACAACGGCAACCCGGTACGAAGCGCCTCCTCCGGGAACTGCCTCCCCTCCTCCCACTCGGTGGCTCGGTCCTCCTCCGGCTCGGCTCTGAAGAGACCCGAGGAGGAGGAGGAGGCGCACCACCCCGCTCACCCTGCAGCCTCCCCGGCGAGCAACCTGAAGAAGGCCCCGCCTCAGCCGGACAAGGCTCCGTGCGCCTCCCCGGACTCCAGCCTGGTGATGGCGTGCAACGACAGCGACAAGGAGAGTCCGTCACCCGGGAAGGGGAAGGAGAAGAAGAGCAGCGGACCCAGCGCCAGGAAAGGGAAGGGGCAGATAGAGAAGAGGAAGCTGAGGGAGAAGAGGAGATCCACAGGTGTTGTCAGCATGCCATCCAATGAGGTGAGTCCATGTTTACAGGTGAAACACGTTCTCAGAGGTCAGAGCAGATTCTCCTGAGACTCTAAGTGAGACTGTGGAGGCCTGAGCAGCTTCTGGAGGAGGCTGTCAAAGTTAGACCAGTGAAAAAGAAAGTTCCTGAGCTGGTTCTGGATGTTTGAGGCCAAGGCTGATTCTGAAATTTCACTTTTGATCCTGATTTATGAGCATAAACATCTTAAAAACCCTTAAATGACACGAATAAACGGAGTCACGAAAGCAGCAAATCCTCTCGTTTGAGAACCTGAACTTAAGAATGTTAAAGTAAAATGATCCGACTCACTCACATATCAAAATTAGGGCACGTCCAAAAACAATATCAAGTTAGAAATGTTCTTATCAGCCGATCTCTAACATGAGACTCATGAGAATGACTTAGCAAGAATCTCAAATAACCTCAAATACTCGACATGTAATGTTGACCATCGCATATTAAAAACATGAAATGAGTTATCTGTAGTGAAACTAGAGACGACATGTGCTGCTTCTCTCTTGACGTGTGAGTCTGCTGCTTTGTTTTCAGCAGACGTGCACAGATGTGACAGATTTCAGTCAGAATCGAATCCAGAGCCACGTTAGTGTGAATCCTCCAGACTTCTATGATCAAATCTCCAGCCTGGATACGAACACCACAGTCTGGCTTTATTCTTGGTTTCTTCCATCTTGTTCTCCTCGATCAGTTTCCTGCTAAACACCAAACTGTGAGAATCCAGAGGTTCGCTCAGTGGTGAAGAGTCTCTGAGTTTGTTATTGTTGTGTTTGTGCGTTTGCTGCTGTAATCTCACTGTTTCTGCTCCTTGTGTAACTTTATATCTAAGTTGTTCTTCAGCTGTCTCGCTTGTTTAGCATCTTGGGAAAAACACATTAACTGTGTGTGTGTGTGTGTGTGTGTGTGTGTGTGTGTGTGTGTGGAGCCATAAATAATTCAAATAAAACAAATAGCACTTGTTTTGTAAAAGTCTCAGTGTTCCTCTCATACATGTGTCCGCTCTGATCGAGCGCCAGTAAAAGAAAAAAGCAGCAGAGATGTTGAGGAGAGAAGCTAAAGACCGAGGGGGGGTAGTGTGTGTGTGTGTGTGTGTGTGTGTGTGTGTGTGTGTGTGTGTGTGTGTGTGTGTGTGTGTGTGTGTGTGTGTGTGTGGTCATTGTTAGTGAATTTAAATCATGTCAGACTCTTGCCTAATTCCTGTGGTTCACACACACACACAGGAACTCTGACACACAACAGCCAGCCAACACACACACACACACACACACACACACACACACACACACACACACACACACACAGTCGAGTCTCCGTGACTTCAGAGGACATTACATTGACTCACACTGATTTCTTCTTGATTTACTTTGAGTTACTCTCCTCGCCCTTCCCTCAACCTAACTCCAAACTAAACCTCATCTGAACCTCAACATGTCTTCACCTTGACAGTGAACGATTCACCTCAAGGGGACTTGTTTCTGTCCCCATAAGGAAGACAAATCCCCACTGCATGATTGTAAACAGATTTAGGTCCCCACATTATCTGTAATAATACTTTTCATTGTGTGCAGCCAAACTTTAACCACAATGCACCAGTCACCAGGAGCTCAGAACTGATGTTTTACTGTCTGTGGCCCGACATGTTTTTATGATCACAGTGACGATGGTGTGAAGTCTGTAGAATCGGTCCCGTCCTTCTCGATAACCACCCAGAGCTCGGCGCCCCCGGGGGGGGGGGGGGCAGCACCCCTGAGGGTTTGACCAGTTTGTCAGTTGGCGCTCCACATCCTGTCATTAGGTGCTGAGTTGTTTGAGATGGACACAAGCCAGGCTGTAATGCAACGGGGCTCCGGGGGCTGTGCCAGATAGATGGAGCCATAGGCGGCTGATCATTATGCAGTAAAGTGGGTGAACACGGCGATGTTGAAGGAGGAGGAGGAGGAGCAGGAGAAGGAGGAGCAGGAGGAGGACGGAGTTGATTTGATCCCAACTGGAGAGATGGTCTGTGTTGTATCTGACAAACACTCCAGTCTCAGTTTTGTGTTTGTGCCTTTTTAAATATTTCAACGACTGCGATAAGCTCTTCACCTGGTTTTTAAGAATCTGAATCTGCTTGAGATTCATAAATTATATTCTCGGAGGAGAATGAAGCTTTGCTGGATCGTCTGGGCGTCATGATGGAGGTCAGCGAGGTCAAACAGTTCTTCTCTAATGTTCATTTCCTCTGTTTGGCAGCTTCATGAGATGTAATTAGTCCCTGACTCTCTACTACAAACTTTTATTTTGGCATTTATATATATTTCTGTATATTCTAAGGATATATCCCTTTTATTTCTTTTCGTTTTAAATATTTCACACTTCAGTTAAATCAAGTATTTTGCTCCCAGTTCATCTGATGATCATTTTTATGTTGAATCTGAATATTGAGCCAATAACGTGTCAGAACATAGTGAAAGATGCTCATTACTTTCCAAAGCCGGTTTTATTTTCCAATACTTTGTGCCCAGCACCCCCCGAGCCGAGTGAAACCTCCAGACATAAATAATTCAAAGTGTCCTCATGGGTTATTGTGATATTTTCATAATAAAGGTGTTTTTCCAAAGGACTTTGACCTTTGCCCTTTAGCAACAATAAACGTAAATCACACTGAGGCTCTGGACGAGGGGCCACATGACCTGGTTGGCTCCTGGGCCCCGTTGTGTTGCAATGACAAAATACATTTGATTTACAAAGATGTGAAGTGGAAAAACAATTGAAAGCAGGACATGTTTCGGAGTTTTGCCTTTTTAAATGATATATGTTGACATTTATGTGTTTTTCGGAGGATTTAAAGTTTCTGAACCATTTTTCCTCACAGATATAATTTACTATGAAAACAGTTTTTGCTGAAAAAGCCACGTTCTCTGACACGTGTGACCTGTTCCTGACGATGTTTTATTGTTTTGACACTTAAACATTTAACTCAGGCCGACAGTAAATAACAGCTCATATGATCTGGTGCAGCTTAAACAACTGAAGCTTCATCTGGAGAGAGTCGAGAAACATAAGAACGTCACAGACTATAAGATAAATATTCCTTTTTCTCTCTCCGCCTGTTGCACGTATATAAAAGAGCGGGGGATGCAAATGAAGCCTCGCTCACACAGCCTCTCTTTGTGCTGAATGCGAGTGGTCAGGTGTGAATAGAGATGCCTGGGATTATCTCCCCGCTCGCTCCGTGCAGAATAATAGCTGCTGAGCGGGATTTCAGAGCATCTGGGGAACCCAATCTTCTGCCTGTTGAGGTTAGAATGGCCCGATAACAGCTCTGCGCTTTACTGGAAGAAAAGACACTTTTTCCACGGCATCGATCAATACGACCCTCAGGAAGGTGTCTCCTTTCTCTGCCGCCTCAGACTGGAAGGCATTGTTGCTGACGCTGACCTCTGACCTGCTCCCGACGTGCTTATGCAACGCAGGAATGTGGAAACGACAGAGCGAGTGGGTTGAGCATCTCTGTGAAGTTCGATTCCCCTCCTCTGATAATGTGCGATGTGAGCGTTTTTTCCGTTAGTCGCGCCGTGTGATTGTGCTTCATGTCGCTCATTGTGCAGGCTTTTTCTTTTTCCTTTTTTTAACGTCCTGTGTGAGTTATGAGGCTGCGGTCAGACGCTCCTGCCAGGGAGTGTGAACCTTTGTTTCATGTGGATGACTGGATCTGCCCCAGAGAGGCTGCCGCTGCTGCTGCCGGACAGGGTGGAGTCCACCGGCCCCGCTGCAACAATCTGTCTGCAGCGTCACCGCGGAGGTCAACAGGTCCAACATGCGATACTGTGCCGAGCGCTCGGGCAGTTAACACTCTGATGACAGGAGGACGGGGCAGACAACAGGGGCCTTGTTTAAACCTGAGCCTGTGACTCTAGGTGGTTTTTAATATGTTTTATACAAACACACCTTAATGTCTTAAACAACAGTAAATCACTTCTACTTCAAACTTTGTCTTTTTGCTAAAATGTAGTGAAAATCCCAGAGATACAAAATACATCTGCAGAAATATGTATAAAATTAGACACCGGAAGAATTATGTATTGGATTAAGTTCAGAGTTGAAAGGAGAAATTGAATTCACACTTTCAGGTTTTCCTTAAAGAGCTGGGAACCTTCTGCTTCATATCAAACCATGATTTTTTTTTTTTATGAACCTCTTCAATCCAAAGATCCTGCAGCGGTTTGTTTATTGCATGCTCTCAATTTACAGCTGCACTAAAGAATGTTAATTTGCATTGGGTGGAGCGTGTTTCACTTGCTGCAGAAACCTTCTCCAAACAAGGCCACATCATCACAGTAAATACCACAGGGATTTTATCATGGACTTACCAAGGCGCTATTTAGGCTGAGTATTGTGTTCCCTTCTCTTCTCTTGTTGTTTGGACAACAGGAAAACTAAACTCTTTTAATTATTACACGTGTTCTTCCAAGTGAAGCTTCCCAAAGCCAGAAGCGACGGCAGCGTTGCCAAGAACATTTTGTATGTTTGACTTTTTGGAATGAGCCCTGGATTGTTTACGAGGGTCTCCGTCACTGGAAAACTTTCAAAGGGGTGAAAAATCGCCTCAGACGAGCTGTTCTGTGAGATTCAGGAGGAGGAGGAGGAAAGAGGAAGTGTTGCTCGTCTGCCTCTGCGATGAAGTGGTTACCAGCCGCGCTTGTTTCCACTCAGCACCTCGTAAAATACACCGCACCTTCGTAATGTGCCGCGGCTCGTGGTTTTGTGCAGTTTGTAGTGTTGTTACGTAAACTTCAGTTCCTATTAAAGTGACCGCAGGCTAGGTGAACGTTCGTTATGGTGATAGATGGCATCAGATCACCTGATGAGAGTCTCTAACCTCACTAACACCACCACCTTTGTGCCATGGATTCATGTATAAAGTGACAAATTCATACATTTTTGATTTTAGATTGTTTCCAGCGGTGGTCACGGTAATCAAAACGTTTACACAACAGCAACGGCGCTTTGTAAATCAAGCAACAACCACAGTTAACCTGGAGGAAGATTCAAATTGTGCTGCTGTTGATTAGAAAAGTTGAATCATAGTAACAGTATATTTAAAACACCGGAAAAAGATTTTACAAGCTGTTGCAGAAATTGAAATAAGCTGGTTCAGCATTGGTTCCTGTACTTTCACAAAGTTCTACCTCCGAGCAGGGACCTTTTGGAGGGTACAAATAATTTCCTTGAGCTAATTTTAGCATTTGGACGTTTACAGAATTCCTGCAAAGATTCCTCGTTCTTGGGGAAAGTTCCTGCGGTGGAAACACGGCTGTATGTTTATTTCTCTACCTTCACCTTCACCAGATAAGTTATTCTGATGTTTGTCTTGGTGTGACGATGGTGTTTAAAGAAGAGTTTCTCTTCTGTGGCTTCACCTGTTTGATATTTACTGTGGGATTCTGCTGTTGTTTGCACACGAGGCTCAAAGTCTGTTTTATCTGGGTCGCTGCTCTTCAGTTATGTCTCCTCAGGACCAGACTGTTGATTATTACTGACTTCACCCACAAGAATGCACCGTCGTGCAAAACCTGCAGTGTCTCCGAGCAGCGACACTGAACGAGCACATGTTCCAGAATAAGACGTTTCCCTGCAGGTTCTCAACAGTTTGTCACAACTGAGGGAAACTTTGTTAACTTGAGGACGGACGACCAGTAGTGTTTGCAAAGGGAGGAGCCTCTGAAAGTTCCCTGCTGCTTGAATGGCTTCAGTGACCCTGTCACCTGGCTAAT